GAGCTGGACCTGAGCGAGAATAAACTAGGAGACTCTGGAGTGAAAAAACCTCAGTGATCTACTGATGAACCCACAATTCAAGCTGGAGAAACTACAGTTAGTGTCATTATACTGTACAGCAATTACAGTGTGACTGAAGTTTATTTATTTGAAGACAGCAGGGCTTATGTTTCATTGGTTATAGCAGTGCACTTTCTGAGTTTCCCTATTGCTCACATTTTTATGTTTTGTTAATCTACACTGTGTGTAATTATTCTGTGGCTAAGTAAATATCACAGTAATATTTAACTTTATTAACTTAATAAATCTCTGAATATCATTTGCTTGATTGTTTGAGCTAAACGTACCAAAATAATTGACTAAAAATCCAACAGTTAATTTCATCTAAAATTTACAGTTATATTTATTTCTTTTTTTTTCACTATTAGAATTTATTATTTGACTAACCTTAATTGATGTATAATACACTTAACATAATTGTGAAATTTCTATCAAAATATTTGAGATTGGAGAATTAAACTTATATGTTTCAAGAACCACAAATATTACTTAATTCAAATCAATATCATAAATATATTTAACACACTCTTGAAAGATTGAGCAGATTTACTCAATTAAAACAATTTAATTTGTTAATGTACAGATGCAGTTACTCAGATCTATTTAATTTTTTACTTACATTTGCTCAGTTTATACAGTGTATTGTAATTGATTTCACTGCTTTAAAATGTAATCAATATTTTTGATTGTTTCACCAAAATAAATTAGTAATATAAAACCTTTTAGAGTGTAGATAGTAATTGTTTAATTCCCAACATCTGATACAATGTACTGATTGTGTACACGCAGAAATCTGCCTTTTCAACAGAGAATAAAGAAGAGAGACGTCAAATAAATAGTTAGAAATGAAAGAGAAGAAACAGTGTCTTCCAGCGCACAGAACTAGTGTGACTGGGTTTTAAAACAGACTATTGGAAACTAAATGCTGCTGTAGCTCTTCAATAAGATGATCATCATAGATGTGAACTATTGTTATTTCTCTGTCTTCAGTCTGAATAGATGCAGTATTACAGAGAAACAGAGTCTCATCCTGACTTCAGCTCTGAAATCAAACCCGTCACACCTGAGAGAGCTGGACCTGAGCTGGAATAAACTAGGAGACTCTGGAGTGAAAAACCTCAGTGATCTACTGATGAACCCACAATTCAAGCTGGAGAAACTACAGTTAGTGTCATTATACTGTACAGCAATTACAGCAGTGGCGGGCCGTGCATTTCACACCTAGGCCGTCTGTCCTACCTGAATTAATAACTTTTAATAGTGTATCAGCGCAAAGCCTCTCTATAATTGTTGATTTTATTTTGCACCGGCAGTTATTGGGTTATGCGGTGAGTTCGGGAAAGGTCGGTAGAGAGAAACGAGCGTGTGAGTTCGGCTGGTGCGTTTGTAAAGTGGTTCTTGCCTTCCGAATCCGATTATAAGTTCAGAAACGGAGCCTCACTTATCTTGTCGTTCAAGGGTTACAATAGTCCCTTTTCAGACGTTACAATAGTATGAATGTTTGAAAAAAATTAAGTTTCGATCATAAATTTATACAAAATATTAAGAAGAAAATCATATTCACCACGGGGAAAAAAGCATATACTCACCAAAACTACAGATTATTTTTTTACACAAAATCCATCCTTATTCTTTCCTCAAGAAGACTTCAATTACTGTCGTACAGGTTCTAACTGCGTTTCAGTTCCAATAATGTCGTGTCTGTCTCGTCACATTTCTAGCATAAATTTTAATTTGCTTTATGGCTGAGAGTGCCTGTTCAACAGAAACACAGTCACCGCAAAACATGACGATGTGTACAGCTGCCCCATGCTCTCACACAGAGTTTTGACCGAAATCAACGAGATCAGCGGGACTTTTGCCTTCAAAAGCATTCGTTTCATAACTTACATTAGTCAGTTCTGTTTTAACCCGGAGAGATCGAATAGAGTCCCGTTACTCTGCGTTTAGCTCAGGCTGAATAAGGGATTTTTTTTCTGCTGGGGGTCGAGGAGGGAAAGAAACATTAATTTGTGGGTTGAAATCTATTACATCTACAGGAATATATTTTAGTTTATGAAGTTTGCTACAGATGCGGATACTACCAGTAATAGTATGCGCATCCAATAAAAGAACGAGAAAATACAGATGTTATTGTAATGAACCTAGACTAGTGTTGTCAAATTGTCACAGCGCTAGAGTAATTCACTCTACAAAAGCAAGCAGCACCACAGAGCTACAAAAAAATAATCTTTATTTGATACAATTCAGGTAGTGACCCAACATTTCAGAGTGGTTCAGGCTCTTGAATTACCAAACACGTATGCAAATCAGGGGCGAATAACACCACAAGAGATCATGCTCCACAGAAAACACCGTCATAAATAAGCAACGCTATAATACACACACGTCAATCCCGTAGGACACTGCACACGTTCAAAATGCACGTGAACTTCAAACCTAAGACGCCCTCCAACTACTACACCAAGGTTTAGTTCATCATAACCCTCCCACCCCGTCATGAAATGATTACACTACCAGCTTTAAAACAAATCACACAATCACACACACACACACACACACAATAATACTTCTAAAATTCCACACTTAACTCTCCCAGGATGTAAGACCCTCCCCCTGGGTCTAGGCTTTGGCGCTGGTTGGCAAGGGGAAAAATCAGACGCCAGTCCAGCGCTCAGAAGGCCTCCGAACTATAGCGGGAACAGAGCACCCCTTGCTGAGAAGCCGCGCTGCCCACGCACTCCTATACCCGGCCTTATCTATCGGTTATCCCACTAGACTATCTTCACCGCCGGCAGCCCTAATTAGCATGCGAGCGGCACCCGCCCCCCAACCTTGAGTGCAGTAGGCATTCGCAACAACAGCCCGCTTCTCAGACTCTCGCTTCACTATGCTCACCTCTTTTTTTAATCCCTCGGGTGACATTGAAATGTACAATAATTACTGCTTCCTGGACCTTCCCATTCATCAGTGATCAGGTGAAAACACTCACTAAACTCAACCCACTCCTCCACTCCACCCACGCCACTCATAACAACACATTCATCCACCGTCACTTCATTACACTCCCCCCACCCATAGGGCAGACTCGTCCTCGAGTCGAATTCAAAACATTTCATAGTCCAGGGACCATACTGGTGCCCTCCTTGATCGTCCTTGGCGCACTTCTTTGGGTAGCAATGCACCTTGCTGGGCCTCCCCGGTCATTGCAGAATCGCTAGTCATGGATATTTGCATCTCCCCAGTATATGAAGATTCTTGACCACCTTGGTTCTGTGTGTCCCGAGCTGGCCGGCCTCTTTGCCATTGTGATCCCATTAGGGCAGCACCGCTTCCTGATGCCTCGCTTGTGACTGGGGGTACTTCGGATCTGGCCCCTGGCACTACCACCTCCCTCTCTCGACCCTCTGCAGCAATTGAAGTCTGCAGCCCGGTCTCTTTAGGTGGAATGCCAGTTATCCGTGGCCTCTCTGCACCCTCTTGGTTGATTACCTCTGTTACAGAAGAAAGACATGGTTTCAGTCGGTTAAAGTGCACCACTATTTCTGTCCCCCCCTCAACTGGCACAAGTCTATATAAAACTTCAGTTATCCTCTCTGTGACTTTATAAGGCCCCTTAAACCTTCGTTGTAATTTTGGGCAAAGACCCTTTTTCCTAACCTTCCCCCGAACCCACACCAATTCTCCTTCTGAGTAGTACTGGAAATGTGCTCTGAAGTCATATTCTCCCTTCTGCTTCACAGAGGCTCTTAACTGATGGCCCTTTACCGCCTCTACTACTGTGGACAATGTCTCCAGCAATCTAGACACATACTCTGAAACAGAAGAGAATATTTCCCCACCACCTAGGTTAAGCATGACATCCACAGGAAGCATGATCTCTTTCCCGAAAACCACTTTGTAGGGTGTAAACCCAGTACTGGAGTGAACGCTGCTTCTATAGGCCATCATCACATAAGGCAACAGGATGTCCCAATTAGCTTGGTTCTCATCTACAAACAGAGACAACATGGAGGCCAATGTTCTGTTAAACCTTTCAACCATTCCATCAGATTGAGGATGATAGGGTGATGTCCTAGTCTTATGAATGTTCAGCAACTGGCACACTTCTTTAAATAACCTGGATTCAAAATTTCGGCCCTGATCTGTATGGATTATCCTAGGGGCTCCGAAGCGGCACACCCACTGTTCAACCAACAAGTTGGCCACTGTCTCAGCTTCCTGATTAGGAAGAGGGAATGCCTCCGTCCATTTGGAAAAATAATCCCCAATAACTACAATATATTTGTTTCCTTTGGGGGTTTCGGGGAGAGGTCCCAAAATATCCAACGCCACCCGCTCATGTGGCCTCAATGCTACCACCGATTGGAGTGGGGCTCGCCACTGTTTCCCCCCGGCTTTTCTAGACCCACAGTCCACACATTCACTGCACCATCGCTTCACATCCCCAAACCAGCCCGGCAAATAGAAACGGTCTTTCACTTTTGCTTGTAGTTTCTGTATTCCCAAGTGTCCACCCGTAACATCATTATGCAACTGTCTTAAGATTTCTGCCACCATCACAGTGGGAATAACCACCTGAACCTGGTTTGCAGCATCCGAATTTGATGGAGGAACCCTCACTAACCGGGAGCCCTGCATTTGTAATTGGGACCATACCTGTGCATACTTTTGTAGATCGTCCGGTGGTTGCAAACCAGTCCTTCCCTCTTTTTTTAAATCAATGATCTTTTTCAACTCTGCATCTTCCCACTGTGCCTGAACCAACTCATCCCCTTCCCACCCGGGAATTAAACTAGTCGGTACATTTTGTACTGCAGCTATTACTGGCCCACCTCGTATCTGTGGGGCTGTGTCCAGGGGCCCTGGGATTGACAGATAAGCAGGCAGCCTAGAAAGGGCGTCAGCATTAGCATGCCCTCGTCCAGGGCGGTGAACAATTTTATATTGGAAGCTTGCCAATTGCTCCACCCACCTGGCTAACTGTCCCTCTAAACCCTGGAAATTATGCAGCCACCTCAAGGAATTATGATCCGTTCTCAAAACAAATTCCTTACCCAACAGGTAATGTTTAAAATGTCTGATGAACGTGACCATACTTAACAACTCCTTCTTGGTGGCGGCATACTTTCTTTCCTGCTTAGTAAGGGCTCTGCTGGCATAAGCTATAACATGTTCACACCCCTCCTCTTCTTGTGACAACACAGCCCCAATACCTGCGTCACTCGCATCCGTATCTAAAATGAAGGTTTTGGAAGGATCAGGATATATAAGAACAGGTGCTGACATTAAACTTAGTTTGAGCTGTTCAAAGGCCGTATGACATGCCTCTGTCCATTTAAACCGCCTACCTTTTTCAGTGAGTTGGTGCAGGGGGCGAGCAATCTCAGCAAACCCCCTCACAAACCTCCGATAGTATGAAGCTAAACCCACAAAGCTCCTGACCTCTGTCTGATTTTTGGGCACCGGCCACTGACGCACAGCCTCCACTTTAGCAGGATCCGCTTTCACCCCCTTTGATGAAATGATATGCCCCAAATACTGCACCTGAGTGGCAAACAAGTTACACTTATTGGGCTTGACTTTAAGGTTAGCCTGTCGTAGTTTTATTAAAACTTCGTCCAGGCGGCCTAAATGCTCCTGAAATGTCCGTCCGAATACAATTATATCATCCAAGTACACCAGACAGGTAGTCCACTGAAGATCTGCCAGCACCAGATCCATCAGTCGCTGAAATGTACTTGGACTATTGCAAAGACCAAAACTAAGGACATTAAATTCAAACAGACCTTGCCGAGTAATAAAAGCAGTCTTATGTTTATCCCTAGGATCCACCTCCACCTGCCAGTAACCACTGGCTAAATCAAGAGTGGAGAACCAGCAAGCTTTATTCAGACTGTCAAGGGCATCATCGATCCGTGGCAACGGATACGCGTCCTTCCGGGTTACATCGTTTAACTTACGATAATCTACACAAAAACGGAGGCCGCCATCACGCTTGCGTACCAAAACTACTGGAGCTGCCCATGGACTTTGAGAAGGCTGAATTATGTTATTTGCCAACATTTTCTTTACATGGTCAGACACCTCCTGTTGTAAATGGAGGGGAACACGACGGGGTGGCAACTTCACAGGCTTCGCATCCCCTGTATCAATCTGATGCAGTGTCAGGTGAGTTCTCCCCAAATCCCCCTCCCCCTCACTAAACACAGACATATTTCTTCGTAACAGCTCCCGAATATCTACTATGTCAGATGGAGTAAAATTCTTCTGATGCAACCCAAAATGAGCCATAAGCTTGTCAACAGACCAAGGCTCATTTGGGCCATCCTCATCCTCACCCGTCCCCAAATGTTCAGCCCTACAGCCCACCTCAATGTCAGTATGTAAAGTTCCCAGCCTCATACCACCCTTTAATGTAAGAACATCTTTAGTTACATTAATTACTCGTACAGGCAGTATACCTCTCCACTCTACAGACCACCCGAGCGATCATTACATCACATTGGTTTGATAATGTGTCTGATGGTTCCAACATACCCTCACAACAGGCCACCAAGGAATTCTCCACCTTTCCGGCAATGATTGCCTCACTACGTGGGGGGATTACAGTGTCTTCCAAGACGAAGACAGTCTGGGGCTTATCCATATCTGCCGAAACAATCAGGGGAAACATTTTACCCATTATTCGACACTCCTTTTTCCCAAAATCCACAATGACACCATATTTACTCAAAAAGTCAAAACCCAAAAGAATATCCTGGGAAGGCACATCAGCTACCAAAAACTCCACAATTAATGCCAATGTATCAAACTGGCAGACGGTTTGCCATTTTCCCAAAATCCCCATCAACCCTCCATTAGCTGCAGACACATCACCATGATGTCCAGACAGTTCTGTTCCCCCCTTAGTGATTTCAAGCCAAAGTTGTTTTGGTATGACTGATAATGTTGCCCCACTATCTACCAAAAGAAGGGAGTCTGACGCACCTATTTTGGCTCCAATGTATCCAGAGCCACCCTGGTTGCTTACAAAGGCCACATCTGTACCAATTCGCCGGGGGGCAGGCAGCGGGCCTACAGTGCCTGCCCCCTGTAGTTTCCCTGCAAATATGGGCAATCTCGTTTTATGTGTCTTGTACACCCACACTCCCAACAACGGCCCCCACCCCTCTGGCTCGATCTACGGACCCTTGTGAACCACTGTTCCTGGGTGCCGGTTCCCTGGAAAATTGAGTGGGGGTATGGTTTACCATAGACTGTTGAATGTTACTCACTGTCGTACGAAGAGATTTTACTTCCTGCCTTAATTATTCCACCATTCCTAACATCACTTGCATTTGTTCATCACTTTTGGAGTTATTCTCCACCACTCCCCTTACTTTTGCATCAGACATCAGATGGGTTTGCTCCATATTCCTAAGAAGCTCTAATTCAGAAGCCAGATCAATTGCGTCTTCTAAGGTTTTAGGTTTTGCTCTCCGCAGGCTGATACGGAAGTCACCAGTTGCAAAATGTGTAAGAAACTGATCTCTTGCCAACATATCACAAGTACAATTATCAGCTGTGGGGTAGGCTTTAGTGGCAAGACGCCTCAAGGCATTTCCGAATTCCCTTGCGGTCTCATTATGCATACGACGGCGGGCTGTAAATGTAGCCCTACTCCAGTCACTACTGTCACAGGGCTCAAAACATCTAGCCATAGCAGCTTTTAGCAATGCGTAATTTCCCTTAGAATCACTGGGCAAACCACTATAAATATCTCTTGCACGTCCAGAGAGTAGAAGAGACATAAATTTAAGTTTTAAGGGTTCATCCCAATTATTTACATCAGCAGCTAGATCAAATTGCTCTGACCAATCAGACCACTCCCTGCCTACACCCGTAAATGTCTCCGGCATAAACACTGGCCGTGCAGTAGCTCTTAAGGGTCCCACATCCCTTGCACGGTCCACCTCTTCGGGGCTAGCATTATCCTCCCCCTGTAACATTCTACAACTGAGTCTAGGTTTTATAGATTCCAAAAAAAAATTAAGCACACTCCCACCGCTGCCACCAGTGTAATGAACCTAGACTAGTGTTGTCAAATTGTCACAGCGCTAGAGTAATTCACTCTACAAAAGCAAGCAGCACCACAGAGCTAAAAAAAAATAATCTTTATTTGATACAATTCAGGTAGTGACCCAACATTTCAGAGTGGTTCAGGCTCTTGAATTACCAAACACGTATGCAAATCAGGGGCGAATAACACCACAAGAGATCATGCTCCACAGAAAACACCGTCATAAATAAGCAACGCTATAATACACACACGTCAATCCCGTAGGACACTGCACACGTTCAAAATGCACGTGAACTTCAAACCTAAGACGCCCTCCAACTACTACACCAAGGTTTAGTTCATCATAACCCTCCCACCCCGTCATGAAATGATTACACTACCAGCTTTAAAACAAATCACACAATCACACACACACACAATAATACTTCTAAAATTCCTCACTTAACTCTCCCAGGATGTAAGACCCTCCCCCGGGGTCTAGGCTTTGGCGCTGGTTGGCAAGGGGAAAAATCAGATGCCAGTCCAGCGCTCAGAAGGCCTCCGAACTATAGCGGGAACGGAGCACCCCTTGCTGAGAAGCCGCGCTGCCCACGCACTCCTATACCCGGCCTTATCTATCGGTTAACCCGCTAGACTATCTTCACCGCCGGCAGCCCTAATTAGCATGCGAACGGCACCCGCCCCCCAACCTTGAGTGCAGTAGGCATTCGCAACAGCAGCCCGCTTCTCAGACTCTCGCTTCACTATGCTCACCTCTTTTTTTAATCCCTCGGGTGACATTGAAATGTACAATAATTACTGCTTCCTGGACCTTCCCATTCATCAGTGATCAGGTGAAAACACTCACTAAACTCAACCCACTCCTCCACTCCACCCACGCCACTCATAACAACACATTCATCCACCGTCACTTCATTACATTATTATTCACCTGCTAGATGGCCCCGCTGCAGTCAAAGCGAAATCTGATTGGCTGATTAAATCTGACGGATTATCTGATTGGTTAAAGAAACAGTTTCATTGCCTTTCATTTTAAGCTACAGGCGCCTGCACTGTCGATTCTGAAGGCCTCCAGGCAGATTTATTTGACCCGGAAACACATGATGGCTGAAATATGATTGGATACAATCTCTAACATAAAAACACAATACTGGAAGCAGCGCAACCAAGAGAAAAGCTATGAAATTAAGAGAATGAACTATTGGGAATAATTTAATATTCATGCAAAAAATATATTAAAGTGCAAGTCAGTGATTCTGATAGTGTTTAGGCCAGCAGAGAAGGCCTTGCTGGCCCTGATGGCACACCACTGAATTACAGTGTGACTGAAGTTTATTTATTTGAAGACAGCAAGGCTTATGTTTCATTGGTTATAGCAGTGCACTTTCTGGGTTTCCATATTCACATTTTTGTGTGCTTTTTTTTCTAGTTAGCTTATACAGTGTATTGTAATTGATTTCACTGCTTTAAAATTGAATCAATATTTTTGAGTGTGAACATTTTTCACCCAAAAAATGTAGAAAATTATATAAAACTTTTTAGAGTGTAGATAGTAATTGTTTAATTCCCAATATCTGATACAATGCACTGATTGTGTACACACAGAAATCTGCCTTTTCAACAGAGAATAAAGAAGAGAGACGTCAAATAAATAGTTAGAAATGAAAGAGAAGAAACAGTGTCTTCCAGCGCACAGAACTAGTGTGACTGGGTTTTAAAACAGACTATTGGAAACTAAATGCTGCTGTAGCTCTTCAATAAGATGATCATCATAGATGTGAACTAATTTGTTAATTCTCTGTCTTCAGTCTGTATAGATGCAGTTTTACAGAGAAACAGAGTCTCATCCTGACTTCAGCTCTGAAATCAAACCCGTCACACCTGAGAGATCTGGACCTGAGCGAGAATAAACTAGGAAACACAGGAGTGAAGCACTTATGTGCCGTACTGAAGGATTCACACTGTAAACTGGAGAGATTGAGGTCAGTCACATTCACATACAAGAATCAAAATGCTTAAAATCACTTCAACTGTTTAAACTAGAACACATTAAAGGACAACTCCGGCGCAAAATGAACCTTTGGTCTAATTACACATTGCTACCTAGTCAACCGTTATCTGAGATTTGTTTTCATGATTGCCGAATGTAAATAGTTTTATCTCTAAAAACAGTTTAGCCTATAGTGCTAGTATAATGCTAGTATATAGGGCATAGAGTAATGACAAGTAAAAATCGCTTGTTATTACCACTAACAAGGCTCAAAATAGCCCCACAGTAAAACGACAGCATAACAAAGGTCCCTACATTCAAACCGAAGCATTGAGAACTTTGTCAGTGTCCATACAGTTTAATAAGAAGATATTTTATACACACAGTCAACTTCGCAAATACAGGAAGAAGCCATCTTTGAAAATTAGTCTCTACCAGTCGATCTAAGAACGCCGATCCATGTGCGCTGAACTGTGCAGAATCTCATATCCATTGTTTTCGGAAGAAACACAAACACGAACCGTTTTCTTCTCTTCAATATGTACACGTAGCCTACTGTTCGCGCTCACATTATCACCTTATTCACATCTCACCGGTGGACATGGATCGGCGTTCTTAGATCGACTGGTAGAGACTAATTTTCAAAGATGGCTTCTTCCTGTATTCGCGAAGTTGACTGTGTGTATAAAATATCTTCTTATTAAACTGTATGGACACTGACAAAGTTCTCAATGCTTCGGTTTGAATGTAGGGACCTTTGTTATGCTGTCGTTTTAGTATGGGGCTATTTTGAGCCTTGTTAGTGGTAATAACAAGCGATTTTTACTTGTCATTACTCTATGCCCTATATACTAGCATTATACTAGCACTATAGGCTAAACTGTTTTTAGAGATAAAACTATTTACATTCGGCAATCATGAAAACAAATCTCAGATAACGGTTGACTAGGTAGCAATGTGCAATTAGACCAAAGGTTCATTTTGCGCTGGAGTTGTCCTTTAACATTATATTTGTACAAACATTTTCACCTTAGTATTTTGTGATCTGGTGAAATAAAGATGAAGATCTCTCTTCCTCTGTTTTATTTGCTGATGAAGATGATGTGACTTTACAGAATAAAGAGTGTCTTATTTTCTTAATTTTCTCTCTCTCTCTCTCTCTCTCTCTCTCTGCTAATGTAGGTTAATCTACTGTTATATGAGAGATGAAGGTTGTTCTGATGTGACTTCAGCTCTGAAATCAAACCCGTCACACCTGAGAGAGCTGGACCTGAGCGTGAATAATCTAGGAGACTCAGGAGTGAAAAACCTCAGTGATCTACTGATGAACCCACAATTCAAGCTGGAGAAACTACAGTTAGTGTCATTATACTGTACAGCAATTACAGCAGTGGCGGGCCGTGTATTTCACACCTAGGCCGTCTGTCCTACCTGAATTAATAACTTTTAATAGTGTATCAGCGTAAAGACTCTCTATAATTGTTGTTTTTATTTTGCACCGGCAGTTATTGGGTTATGCGGTGAGTTCGGGAGAGGCCGGTAGAGAGAAACGAGCGTGTGAGTTCGGCTGGTGCGTTTGTAAAGTGGTTCTTGCCTTCCGAATCCGATTATAAGTTCAGAAACGGAGCCTCACTTATCTTGTCGTTCAAGGGTTACAATAGTCCCTTTTCAGACGTTACAATAGTATGAATGTTTGAAAAAAATTAAGTTTCGATCATAAATTTATACAAAAAATTAAGAAGAAAATCATATTCACCACGGGGGAAAAAGCATATACTCACCAAAACTACAGATTATTTTTTTACACAAAATCCATCCTTATTCTTTCCTCAAGAAGACTTCAATTACTGTCGTACAGGTTCTAACTGCGTTTCAGTTCCAATAATGTCGTGTCTGTCTCGTCACATTTCTAGCATAAATTTTAATTTGCTTTATGGCTGAGAGTGCCTGTTCAACAGAAACACAGTCACCGCAAAACATGACGATGTGTACAGCTGCCCCATGCTCTCACACAGAGTTTTGACCGAAATCAACGAGATCAGCGGGACTTTTGCCTTCAAAATCATTTGTGGCATAACTTACATTAGTCAGTTCTGTTTTAACCCGGAGAGATCGAATAGAGTCCCGTTACTCTGCGTTTAGCTCAGGCTGAATAAGGGATTTTTTTCTGCTGGGGGTCGAGGAGGGAAAGAAACATTAATTTGTGGGTTGAAATCTATTACATCTACAGGAATATATTTTAGTTTATGCAGTTCGCTACAGATGCGGATACTACCAGTAATAGTACGCGCATCCAATCAAAGAACGAGAAAATACAGATGTTATTATTCGCCTGCTAGATGGCCCCGCTGCAGTCAAAGCGAAATCTGATTGGCTGATTAAATCTGACGGATTATCTGATTGGTTAAAGAAACAGTTTCATTGCCTTTCATTTTAAGCTACAGGCGCCTGCACTGTCGATTCTGAAGGCCTCCAGGCAGATTTATTTGACCCGGAAACACATGATGGCTGAAATATGATTGGATACAAGCTCTAACATAAAAACACAATACTGGAAGCAGCGCAACCAAGAGAAAAGCTATGAAATTAAGAGAATGAACTATTGGGAATAATTTAATATTCATGCAAAAAATATATTAAAGTGCAAGTCAGTGATTCTGATAGTGTTTAGGCCAGCAGAGAAGGCCTTGCTGGCCCTGAAGGCACACCACTGAATTACAGTGTGACTGAAGTTTATTTATTTGAAGACAGCAGGGCTTATGTTTCATTGGTTATAGCAGTGCACTTTCTGGGTTTCCATATACACATTTTTGTGTGCTTTTTTTCTAGTTAGCTTATACAGTGTATTGTAATTGATTTCACTGCTTTAAAATTGAATCAATATTTTTGAGTGTGAACATTTTTCACCAAAAAAATGTTGTAAATCATATAAAACTTTTTAGAGTGTAGATAGTAATTGTTTAATTCCCAGCATCTGATACAATGTACTGATTGTGTACACACAGAAATCTGCTTTTTCTGCTTCCAGCGCACAGAACTAGTGTGACTGGGTTTTAAAACAGACTATTGGAAACTAAATGCTGCTGTAGCTCTTCAATAAGATGATCATCATAGATGTGAACTATTGTTATTTCTCTGTCTTCAGTCTGAGTGATTGCAGTATTACAGAGAAACAGAGTCTCATCCTGACTTCAGCTCTGAAATCAAACCCGTCACACCTGAGAGAGCTGAACCTGAGCTGGAATAATCTAGGAGACTCTGGAGTGAAAAACCTCAGTGATCTACTGATGAACCCACAATTCAAGCTGGAGAAACTACAGTTAGTGTCATTATACTGTACAGCAATTACAGTGTGACTGAAGTTTATTTATTTGAAGACAGCAGGGCTTATGTTTCATTGGTTATAGCAGTGCACTTTCTGGGTTTATTAAACTAAAACACTTTATTCTCAATATCTGACAGTGAGTCTAAATTCACATTATATTTGTGTAAAATTCTTCACATTCATGATTTGTTTGTAAGATAATCTCTCTTCCTCTGTTTGTGTCTCTCTAGTCTATATCACTGTGGCATTTCAGATGTTTCTTCTTTAACTCAGTGTTTGACGAACTCAAAAGCTCTGCAGTTTTTAAAAGAGCTTGATCTGAGAGAGAATGAGATCGGAGACTCAAAGCAGCGGCTCAGAGACGAACTACGAGACTCAAACTGTGTCCTGAGGTGAGGAAACATCACTGAGATATTAAAGACATCTTCATTTACCTCTGATATGTGAACAATCCTTTCAAACATTCATGAAAGGAAATTATCAATAAGATTTGTTGCAACAAAGGGTTTGTGTGAGAACAAAATTATTGAAGTTATTGAAATGTTGAACACAAAGGAGGAAAGAGAAGAAAAGCTCACTGTCACAGCTTTATACATCAACACCTGCTTTATGAACTGTGTCAGTAGAAGTGAATCATTTGAGTGTGAAACAGACTTGGTCAGATTGTAGGAAACGCTGCACTCCTGCTAAAATCAGTGCAGTTCCAGCTTCAGCTCACAGCGTCCAGCTCACATGAGCAATGTCTCTGTCTCTAGTGTGTTTTTACTGTGACAAGCAACACGTCACACTACTCGACACTTACTTTACTCTCAGTTATTTACTAAGAGCCTACAAACATGTTTAAACTAGAGGACAAACGGCTTTAACTAAAGGTTTGTGTTTAACTCAAAATAACATTAGTATTTGCTCGCTGTGGTTTATTCCATACGCCGTACACTCATTAGTTTCTCCTTTACAGAGACTCAATAGGAGTCGCACAGACACACACAGACACACATATGAACATGATTCAGGCTTTACATCTATTATATTTAAAAACACAAATATCTCTATCCAAGAGCATGTAAAGTCAGTAATTAATCTGATTACAGGAATTCAATTTAACTTACTTTTACTAAAGAAAAACAGCACTTTGTTCAACCGAACACTGATTGTTTTCTCTTCTGTTCCACTTTGCAGTGTAGATGAAGATTGATCATAAAACATCAGTGGATTTCCATCAAGGTTTAAATCTGTGAAACGGAGATGAGGGGAGCAGAAACCATCAGGTGATCCACAGAAGAGTCTCACTGCTGTCTATGAGGAGATATACATGTGTAAATGTGTTTCATACAGGTGGAAGAGACTCAGACTTCACTATTAAATAAAGCAGCGTGTGTGTTAGCATGCGTATTAGAAACATGTGATATTGAATGATTAATGTTGGTTTATTATTCAGCCAAATGATGGTTTAGTTGTAATTAAAGGTGGAACAGAGGAAGAAGCTCAGATGAGTGTCAGCAGAAATCCTCACTATCAGGCCTGCAAATATAATAATGTTTAGACTAAACTCATCCAGAATTATTCAGATATTTCTAATCATGAACGTGATTGTCAAGTATAGCACATACATGTTTCAAACGATATAAAGTTTGCATGTAACTTTTAAACATCTACATTATCTCTCTAACATTTTATACACAGAATGTTTATTGTTATTGTTTTATTGTATATGAAGTTAGGTGTGTGTGTGTGTGTGTGTGTGTGTGTGGAGACAATTTAAGACAAAATATTAAATATCTTGTAAAAATGTTTGCATGATTGTTTTGTGTCATATGATACACCAGACTTGTATGACTTGTTATATAGAATTATATTATCACATACTCATACTTGAGGTAGAAAAAAGGGCATATTTTATTCATATACCCAAACTGGGGGGAAATAATGTAATTTGGTACAGAATAGATGTTATTTATATTTCCAAAACGTAATATGAAATTTTGAAAGGTTATAGATAAAACATTGAGATTTTTATAAAACAGGCTACTAAAATAAAATACCTACATCTCACCACATCATATACTAGTTGTCCCTCAGTTTCTCCCAGTAATTATATATTTAAATGCTTATTTCTATGAGTACTACTGTAGTTTAAAGGGTTTGTTCGGTATTTTACACTTAAAGCCCTGTTTTAAGATCGTTTCTTATGAAATAGAACGGTTAGATTGAAATTTGGTCAAATGCTGCTGTGCCGAGAATTTTAGGTTTGTGTGTTAGCACCCTCCACCTACACAATGGTTGTCTATGTACACTGGAACAATCATTCATAAAACGCATTAAACTTTAGTTTACTAAGACGTGAAACTCACTGAGGGGTCTGGGGTGTTCACTGATATGCTCACACAAAAATCGCTGCAAAAGATGCTTTCCAACAGGTTTTATTGTAGTTTTTGCAAAAACAGTATTACAGTAGACATACAATTTAAAAGAAAAGAAACACAACAAATTAAATGTATTTTGCTATTACATTATATCTTCATACAAAAATAAAAACTTTTGCAACTAAAAAGTGCAAAATGCCAAGCTTTGGCCAGCTTTCAAATACATTTAATTTAAGTTAAATGGTTACAGAACAGGTTAGTTCTTCACTCGGACGCACTCTTCAATCTATCGCCGATGAAATCACAAAATAAAATGCACATAAATGTGTCCCTGCTTGATATAGACTGTAACCACTGATGAACATATTCGGTTTTGATGAGAGAGAGGAAAAAACTATGTAAAGACTCTGGTCGGGTCTGATAAAGGGGGAATTTGCATATCATAATTAATAATTATTCATACAGATTTGGATCAGACCGGTCTTACATATTAATTTATTAATTTTACCCATATGCATACATGTGCATCCCCACAATTAACCACAAATTAATTGTTATTAATTGCAAGGACCACGTTTTACAAGACAGGCAAAATCAATTAGCTCAATTAAGTTATAGAGCTTGTGAAAACAAATTCTGTGGCCACTAGAATCTGCCTTCCCTGCTCTATAACCAAATACCCTCTTAGGTATTTGTAGTTCTGTAAAGCGTGTAGCTTATAACGGAAATCATTATGAACATCAGCTATGCTAATTATTTCCCATCTGCCTTTCTGCTGTTATCTCGGGACGCTTGTCCCGAGAAAAATGGCGTTCGTCAGGTCCAGTTTTGTGTCCAGCCTCTCACGGGGATTTCGGATGCCCCAACGCCTGTGATGAGACGACTCAACGCCTGTGAAGAGACGACTCAACGCCTGCGATATGTTATGGCGCCGTTTGATTCATAAACAATATTTATATTTAATATTTATATTTAAACAATATGAATGTAAGCCAGAGGAGAACTGGCCCCCGACTGAGCCTGGGTTCTCCCAAGGTTTTTTCTCCATCCAATCTGATGGAGTTTGGTTCCTTGCCACTGTCGCCTTGCTTTTGGCTTGCTTTGAGCTTGCTCAGTTGGGGTTATTTAGTGTTTAGCAATGTTGTTGATCTGTGTTGTGCTACTTTCATGTTATCACTGTGAAGCTGCTTTGATACAATCTGTATTGTGAAAAGCGCTATATAAATAAATGTGACTTGACTTGACTTGACTTATTAAATTGACATTTCATTGACCCGTATTATGAGCAAGACAATCAGTCAAGGTAAGTGTAGCAAGATAAGCAGGAGAATGGGAGGGGAATTGGGAAGTAACTACCAATCCCAGTACAGATTGCCTATAGGATGGTCAAATTTAAAGGACAGGCAACATGGAAGGGCAGCCGGGGTCCTTGCAGCATCAGTTAGCCGTTTGGCTAGTAGCGTGTGGGACTGGGTGTCCTGTGATGTACTCTTCCTTGATGCAAGGTAAACCTGTTTTTTTGTTGTATTACTGCAATGGATGTTTTTATTGTGTTGATGCAGTCACTAACTATAGATTTAATAATTCTTTTAGATGAATCAGTGGTATTTGAATCCATTATGTGTCATGTGGGCATGAGGTGGTAATTGTGTTAATAGGGATATTTTACTATGTTTTAGAACTGTTTGCCTGATGGAATAAATTCAGGACCATCATGTTTTTTGTCTGATTGTGCACCTTAAAGGTATGGTTATTCATTTTGAGTTTGTTTGTGATGTGCATGGGACTGACACTCATGAAAAATACTCAATTTTTAGAACTGTTTGCCGAATGGAATAAATTCAAGACCACCATGTATTTTTACGGTTGTGCACCTTCAAGGTATGGTTATTTATTTTGAGTTTGTTTGTGATGTGGATGGGACTGACACTCATGAAAAATACTCTATTTTTGTTATAGGATGTTGATTGCTAGTCGCTGTTCTCTTATATGTTTTTTTTTGTTTTTTTGAAAAAAGCCTGAAGTTGACTGCTCCCTGACTTATTGGTGGCAATGAATTTCCTAGCCAGCTTGGTTTGTTTGTTCTTTTTTTCTCTGTTTAAAGTATTGATTGATTTCGTTTTTTTGCGGCTGGCTAGTGGAATTATTTATTTATGTTTCCATTTTTTTTCTTTTGTTTCTTTCTTTGAATCAATTATGTAATACCAACTGCTTTCCATCCTTGATTAAGCTGCCAGGGGGTAGTTTTCCATCGTGATCGGGTGGTGAACTGGGAGTACAGATTAACAGAGCCCTTATAGGCCTGGTGGTTTGATTTGTGTGTTTGCCACATTGTGCACGTGTATCCTGTTGTAATGAAGGGCTTACTGGAGTTTGCTGTGGTTATCACTCAATGCAATGAAGTGTCCCCTGTATAGGTAACTCAAGTTGTTTTGTATTCCTAGCCAGACCAATTGAGAAATTGCTGCCCCCATCCGCTGAAGCAGTTTATGTTTTGAATAATTTTACAGTACTGCTTAATAAAGAAATTTGTATTTTTTTTTATAATTTATTGTCTTTGGTGTTCATTTTTTTTGGGGGGGCCCTAGCGGGTGTCACATTTTGGCGTAGTCGGCAGGGTCGAGCTAAATTGGTTTTGGGAGCAGTCAAGTTGCTTGTTGTGTTTTTTTTTTATTTTTTTTGAGGAGAACAGCGGCTAGCAGGACCAGTGCTTCTTCGTGGGACCTTCTTCTGTCAAGCCTTCGAAATGGAGGACGAACTACGACGACTGCGGGCTCAAGTGGAGCAGCTTCAGTTGGAGAATCAGAGACTGTCTGTGCCCAGGCCAAGTGGGGATGCGGGGGAGGGACAGGCTAGTGGGAGTGATACGGTATCCTCTCGTAGAGAGCAAGCTGTTTACCTCCCTAGAGAACGTAAATGTCCAAAATTCTCGGGATCCTTGGTTGCTGGGGCACTGTCGGTGGAGGAGTGGATAGAGGAGGCACGGAGTTGCATTAGGTTAAGGTATATGTCTGAATTGGATAAGGCTTTATTTCTGTTGGACCACCTAGAAGGGGAGGCTCGAAATGAGATCAAATACCGGTCTCAGGGGGTGAGGGAGAATTCTGAGCAAATTTTGAATGTCCTGAAAGAAGTGTATGGATGCTCAAAATCTTATGTCTATTGGCTACAAAAGTTTTTTGATCGAAAGCAGAGGCATGGGGAGTCATTACATGAATTTTCACATGCCCTATTGGCTCTAATGGAGAGGGTGGAGCAATGTAAGCCGGGTGCGATACCAAACTCGGAGATTGTTATAAGAGATCAATTTTGTGAAAATGTTCGTGATCCTATGCTTCGTAGGGAGGTAAAAAGGCTGGTACGAGATAAGGAGACTATGTCACTTCTGGAAGTACGGCGGGAGGCCATTCAGTGGGTAGAAGAGGGACAGCCCAGTAGGGAAAAACAAGTACGCCCTTCCCCTCATACTTGTGAGGTTCAGGTTACACCTAGTTGTGAGGTTCTTTCTGTCCAGCCATCTTCAGAGTTGACTGAACTTAAGAATATGGTTCTTAAACAACAAGCACAATTGGATTTATTGGTAAAACACCTGGCCCCTGCTACTAGTAAACCTTCAGTTAAGAATAATCGTTTTAAACGTGCATCTGATGGCCGGCCAATTTGCATTAGATGTAACTTGCCTGGGCATATAGCCAGGTATTGCGAAACTGTCCTGGATACTCAGATTACTGGGGGTGTATCCATTAGGGAATCAACAAGGCAGTCGGAAAACTAGTGACCCCTAGCGTGCAGAGCCACGCGCTGGGAGGAACAGTAGATGGCTCCAGTTTGGATTCTTTAGTTTATGATCGATTAGTAGGGCCATGTCCAATGTTAAGTGTGAAGATGAGTAATGTTGATGTTCCATGTTTAGTAGACACCGGTTCCATGGTAACTACTGTGACCGAGAGTTTTTTTAATAGATGTTTTTCTCATTTAAAGAAACAGGATTGTGAGTGGCTTGGTCTAAAAGCTGCTAATGGACTTGACATACCTTATGTAGGCTACGTCGAACTAGATGTGATTGTTCTGAATCAGTGCATCCCAAAGCGGGGTATTTTGGTTGTCAAGGACCCTGTGAATGTA